GTTGCTTTTAAGCATAAACACCAATTTGTAATATAACTAATTGTAAAATGTCTTTCCCTGGGACACTTATAATTTTAATAATCATCTGCTGTTTGTTCGGTTTGAAAATGTTTATTATATAAGTGCAAATATTTTCGGGGTTGGTAGATCTCAATAAAATAAAAATAATATATTTTCTTTATCGAGTTTCAAATATGTTCAATCGAGTTATTAAAGTTTGGAAATTTAAAAAATAGATTTTTTTTTAAATTTAAGCCACCTCAATTTTTCGGTATTTGCATCTCTTTCAGTGCCGTAATATCAGAGATTAAGAAACTATACCGTGGGAGAAAATTTGCGGTGTACAGGAAGTTCTAAAAAGTTTTCTAAAATATACAGGATAATTTAAAGAAAATGCTTCATTTTTAACATCTTTTTTACAAAAAAAACTCATAGACGTGTGTTCCTGGGCTCGAAATATACCCCCCCGAAAATATTTGCACTTATTTAACACTCACCCTGTATAGTTTTACCCAATATTCTTTTATTAATAACTAATAAATATGACTGACTGGCAGCAAAAAAAAAGAATAATTTACCTAATGCTATCATTAGGTAAATTTAAATAGTCTCGATCTAAATGTATACTAAGAATACGGTAGCGTAGATTGACAACTGGGGGCCTCGGTGCAATATTTTTCGAGCTCCCCTTTGTAAGAAGGAAGACGAATTAGAGACGAACTCTGCGGTTGACGGAGAACACCTAAAATCTGTAAAATGGGTTAAATATTAAGCTTTTGGGTTAAAAATGGCGCCCCAAATAGGATATTCTACATGACTTTTTATTTCGCCCCCCCCTAAAATAAATTCCTGTATCCGCCCCTGCTGAGGACTAAAAGCCAAGTCTAAATTGGTGTTTAAAATGTTGCTAAAATGAATTTGCTAAAAATTACTGAGACAGCCAGAGAAGAGTTAAATAAGGTTTAAACTAGATTAGATAATAAAATATTAATATGTCTTGAAAATCCAAACATTCTTATTATGGACTGTAACATAACATTACATCAGAACACATTTATATCCCACTGCCTAGGTATTGCCTAGGATTTTTTCGTTTGAGTCATGGCATTATCATACAAGATGCCAAATGTACAAAAGTATAGAGAAAAAGTTTCGTGATAAGAACTATATAATAACCTAAAAAATGCTGCAGTTTTAATGGCAACCGCGGTTTCAGTTAAAAACACGTGTACACGAGGAGGCTGCTGCTGTAGCAGAGAGAATTTCTGTAGAATGTGCGAAAGTATATACCCGAAAAGCTAAAAGTAATGTATTTCACAGAGGATTGGGTCAGCTGAACTGAATGAATCAGGAAGTCTTAAAGTTTCTCAAAATCGTGACAAAATCGATAACGGTAATTTCATCTTGAATCGTAGCCTATTCAAGATGAAATTACCGTTATCGATAATGGAAATAAAGCAGTAGAACCCTCTAAAACTGGGCCATTTTGTAGTAAAAATTCAGATGTCCGATCCAATATTGGTCTTTACGAAAATTTTGATCCAAGACAATTTATTTTTTTTTTTAAAAACCGGAGGCAAAAGAGCTTTTTCGCACGAGTGAAAAACACCCTTACTTATATACAGCTTGTCCCAGAAATAACTGCAAGTATTTTAAAGAGTGGTAGATCTCGATAAAAGAAACATATTTTCTCTACATCGTTTTTCACTTAGGTTTTTCAAATAAGTCCAAAATAACTCAGTTATTTTACTTTGAAAATTTCCAAAAAAAATAATTTTTTGCTCAAATTTTGAGAACCTTTCTGAATATTTTCTGGATTTTCTTTCTTTTAAATTTAATCTACTACCTATGTTGCCATATTATCAAGAAATTATGTTTTTTAACCTTTGTTTTTAAGTAAAAACTAAAAAAAATTCCGAATTTTTCCGAAAAGTTTTTTTTTTGCGAAAAAAAAAACCTCATAGGCGTGTTTCTGGGGATCAACTATACTACCAGTTAAAATACTAGCACTTATTTCTGGGACACCTTGTATTAATAAATAAAATATGTTTTTTCGTTATGGTCATTTTGTTTTTGTGGATTTGGGCCGGTTGTCTGTTTTTCCCGGGCCGGTTTCAACTTCCCCATCCACCCCTGGCTACACACATAGATTTATTGCATTATTGCTAAGAAAATACATAATAGGTACCTAAGTGGTATGTAATTACGCATTTATGTTCATCTTGTAGATAATTAATGTAGGCTAATAATAGATAATATTTCAATAATCATAATTTACCTTGTATAACTTGCTTTCAATTGCTCAAAATCACCGATCAGTCTTTAAAATAGAGATACGGAAAAATTCTTGGCAAAGCATATCCCAAAATCCTTGGGTCTAAACCTAAAAATGTATAAATACAGTTAATATCTATATTACCTATTTTTACATATAATATGGCCCATACTTACTACACGCAGACACGTCGATTTCATCATTTTCTTCATGTAATTAATATGATATATACTTTATTAAAGTGTTAGCGAGGAACTTTAAATCAAAAAACATCTTTGTACTTCTATCTTCTATCAATCAAATCTAAACGACAAAGATTAAAATGGCGCCCGACCTTGCCAGAGACCTCGGGAGCAGATACACAGACAAAAGAAGAGGACGCCGACGTGCATAAAAATGTTCCGTAACAGAAATCATAAGAAATATTAAGATTTTTGTCTAGGACAGTCTAGACCATAGAGAAATATAAAATAAAATTTATTTTAGTTACTTTATGGTCTAGACCATGCTTTCTGCTTGGGTAGGACAGCGCCAGAACTGCTTCCAATTTTCCCAACGACTTCCAATTTTCCCGATTCCCCTTTTTTCAACTTTCAAAGTCAAAACACACTTGTTAATAAAACTTTTAGGTCGTATTTTCAGGGCTGGTAGATCTCGATAAAAGACACATATTTTCTCTTTACCGTTTTTCAAATAAGTCCAAAATAACCGAGTAATTTTACTTTGAAATGATTTTTTGCTTAATTTTTGAGAACCACTGAATCTTTTGTGGGTTTTCTTTCTTGTAAATTTAGTCTATGTAGCCATATTATCAAGAAGTTATGTTTTTTAACTAAAAAAAAATCCAAAAAATTATTCAAAAGATTCCAAATTATGAATTTTTTCGCAAAAAAGCCTCATAAATAATCGTGTTTCTGGGGTCGAAATATACTACCCCTCAAAATATATTTGCACTTATTTAAGACTCACCCTGTATAGTTATAATGCATTTCTGAATAGGATGGATGCATTTCCTTAAGCCCACTCAAAACAATAAACATTTTAATGGTGTAATAGGATTGAAGTTATTTATCTATTTAATTAGAATTCATAACACAATACGAAAATAACACTATAAGACGGTACTATATAAAGTCTATTAAAATTAAAATTTTCAAGAAAGGTATAGTAAAAAGCGATTCTTCTTTTTTCCTTATTGTTTTATTTATTGTTAATTCGGTTTTAACTAACTCACTGTCTTGGTATATAGACCTTCAAATTAATTGTATGTGCAGTCTCATTTTAATTAAGTTGATCGACTAAATTTGGAATATGTATGTAATAACCTGGTACATAATCTCAATTTTTGTCTTAATAGGTGTATTCATTTTCATTCAAATATATTCTAACCATTTGCTTGTTATTACAAACCAACATGAATAATCAACATATCAAATTCCTGTACTAACAACAAAAAAAGATGAATTTCATGAGAATAACAGTTATTATCATGAAAATATTATTGTTAATATAATAATTTTAAGGGTAGTGTAGTCAGTTTTCCAGCAAATCGATATTTTAACTGAGAGTCTAAACGACCCTTAAGATGAAAGAAAATATACTTAGGTATAATATACTAAAGAATGAATAAATACTAGAAAAATGGTAATATATTATACAAGAATTGAATGAAAGGGGACAAGAGAGCGACATGCTCCCTAGACCCAGCCAAAATGCCAGAGGGGTTTCCCCCTGGCACCGGACTAGGAGCTTCCCCACCAGCGACAAGGTCTCGCATCTCTTAAAGAAAAAGGGAAGTAAAAGAGAAGTAAAACGACTCTAAGAAGCGTCTTAACAAAAACAAAACCGGAAACTATTCAGAAATTATTACGATTCTATATAATCAAACAATGCGTCAAGCTACATTCGCAATCAATTCGCTGGCCGAGTGGTACTTTGGCACGCAAGCTTATCATATGTACTTCAGTGTAATCATTCACAACAAAATTCGACGCCAGAGTGCAAGTTGAAGTTGGATTGAAAGCTTGCAAGCTGCAAACTTCCACTTCAGCACGGAATTTTCGTTTGACAATTATGACAATTTTGACATTTAAATTTTAATAATTATTTTGTTTGTGTTGTTGTTACAAGCCATTTTCCTGTGGAAAGTAAATATTTATTATTAAAAGAAAAATGAGTGAAGTGGACGCTATTCCTATTTTATCAGGACTTGTGGCTTTGCTGTTAAAAAAACGGCAATTATTGTTGCAGCTCAATAATTCGCTTGATCGTAAACCAAGGGGTTTACCAAAATCTAAAAAATGGGGCGTCCGACCCATATTAATGGCGAGAAAAAGTTTTGGGTGCTACGAAAATCTTTTACTAGAAGTTCGCTTAAGCAATCCCATAGTTGAGACACATTTTAGAAAAAAATCATCACTAAATGACGTTCTTGTTTCCATTTTTCTAAACATAAAAACTTGGAAAACTTAATTAACAACTGTTCCGGATTTTGCCTCTTCCATATGCTCTTCCAAAATAAAAACAAACAACTGACCTAAAAAAATGTGAGGAGACGTTTAAACACGCGTGCGCAAAATTCGACTTGAAATTTGTTGTGAATGGTTAATTTCGTGCCGACTTTAATGTCGAATTGCCACTTGGCCAGCGAATTGATTTCGAATGTAGCTTTACGTGTGCGATCTCCTTTATGTTGCCCGTGGCAGCGTCTCCACATAACAAGAATTGGTTTTGTTTGTTGACCGTTCATTGTTGATTCAGAATTCGTCCGAAAATGATACCGCTCGCGTCGGTGTTTTTGTCCGTCGCGATTTCGGCAGCGCTGGGTGCCATCTCACCACCGCCGTTACCCCTACCCAATAGCAAAGTGGTCTTTTGCAATTATGAGACCAAATCCCATTTAAGAGAAGGTAAATGAATGGCTTATATTATGATTTTATTGTCAATAATTAATAGTATTATTTTTCAAAATTTAATGTAATACCAATAGTAATGTTAAACCAGTGACCACTATCAAAAAATCTTTATTTGTTACCGGTTTCGGCTATTCAGCCATATTGTTCATTTTATTATTTTAATAGAAACGTTTTAAACAAAGCTTTAAAAAAATTCACTAAATAAGAAATAGAATTGCAACACTGCAAAATATACTACTCAAAACAATTATCGCATATTTTCTAAAAAAAATATTAATTTGAAAAACAAGACACTTTAAATTCCCTGAGGGTGCAGCCACACTATCCTAAAAACGGCGTATCGGCGTAACGGCGTAATGACCTTGAATAGATTTCCAGTAATTCTATTGGCTAAAACATTCATCTGTCAGAAATTTTATCTGTCAAATTCATCTGTCAAAAATTTCAGCCAATAGAATTACTGGAAATCGATTCAAGGTCGTTACGCCGTTACGTCGATACGCCGTTTTTAGGATAGTGTGGCTGCACCCTGACTTACAAGTTTAAATACACACACCGGAAAAGTCTAGGGATATTACAATTTTATCTAGCCATCGTCAGTAATTTTATTATTTGCATTTCTGATATAATAAAATTAAAATAAACAAATAGTTTACAGGACGTATTGCAAATAAAAATGCGAAATTTACCGAATTTTTCAAATTTACCTTGATTTTTATTGAACTCAAAAAAATACACACATTTTTTTTTATTCTAAACTGTGAATTAAAAAAAAATTCACAGATTTTGCAACATGCGCAACCATCATAGGCGTATTGAAAATACCAGATACAAGTCGGCGGTTGTCGAAGAAAAAAACTTTTTTTTACACACCCCTTAATTTTAAATGAACTTATTCGATACTTTACGGTCACCCTTATAATGTTTACTACTGAACTGTGATATTTATTTCTTGGTTACAGAAACCATGCAATGTAAGGTCGTGGCGGTAAGCAGCAAAAATAAATTACATTAATAAAAATTAATGTAAAAAGTTTTTATTATTTTTCTAAAGTAATAACCATAAATATAAAATCTTGACACTTAGTGATGATGGTTTCATTATGTTGTTTTTTGCATTGGACTTTATTAATTAAATATAAATCTGAAACAAAATTTCAGATTTTAACGGTAGGTACCTATAATTTTTTAATATTAATTCTGAAAAATAAGAAAGTAAACGTAATAATAATTAATATCGGTTTAAAGGTCGAAACTACCAGTTTGATTAGATTATCGATGTATACTCTGTTTTTTTTTCTCAGGTAAGACAGACGATGACAAGAAAAGCAGATGACATGCCATACCAACCTATTTATTTTACTAAAAAAAGTTTCCAATATTTTTTAAGTTAGCTATGGATGGGTTTAAATATAAATCCGTCATGCGTCGTCTCTTGTTGTTTTTAACCAGTTTTATTGGTTTATTTCAAAAATGACAGATAATATTTCAATTTTACTGGTTTGACCAGGTTTGACGGAACGATGAACGACAAACGGACGCCGGATTAGGATTCTAAGTCCCTCAATTTTAATATCTTTGACATGTGTGCCTGTCCAGAGGCCTGTCAAAATATTTTTGAAATGCTGTGAATAAGAAACTTCTTATTTCTTATGAAAATCATTTTTTATTATCTTGGCTCTCCGAGACGTTTTCCATATCCGTACATACACCAGTGGTAAGTCACGATAATATTTATTAACCATATTCATATTAGGTATTATTACTTACCTTCCTGATTTATATTTCCTTTTGTCTCTGATGGTCCTTCAAAATCTTCCAAGGTCGAAGAAGTACCGATTGTAGTTACTGATAAAACTTTAGCAATTTCTTGCGATTTCTATAGGCTCGACAACGTTCGACGTTTAATTTAAGTTTTCTAGCTTTTTTTTCATCTTCTGTAGTATTTAAGATTTTTTTTAACGAACATTCAGTTAATGAACGATGAACCGTTTCGCTTATCCGGCATTTTTAAAAAGGTACCACAGACCACTTGATTCGAGTCATCACGTGAACTATTGGATTTTATATTCATATATTATATTTGCATTTTATATCCGATTCAACTTATGACTTCCGATCTGATTACTCCTACACTGATATAATCTGTATTACGACTTATGCTAGGTTAATTAAGGAAATTTGCGACCAATTTTGAATTAAGTTATACTGCAAAGACTAGCATAGGCTATGATTTGTCGTTGTCAATTATAATTTAAAAGTAAAAATACGTAAAAATATTATTTTTATAAAGCCACAAAGGAGAACAACAAATTCATAATGATTAAATAGACCATCCAAGAGATAATGAAATAAAACAAAATAATTAAGTAGTGGTAATAATTTACAAGGAAAAAGCAATTCTAGCATAATTCAATAGGTTCAAAATTTACACGATCATTAGTTTTTACCTTTTCGATAAGTTATGAGATCGTTGGGATACGAGAGGTACTTAGACATTTTCATTTTCAAAAACGTCTTGTATTTCGAAAATGAATTTTACTTCGAAGTGCAAGTAAATTAGTGGATATACCTAAATAAGCCAAATAGGTATCTTTTTTTCAAGTAATTATGTTTATGAAATAGGCGAGTATTGTTTTAACAAATACTTATACGTATATTACGTCAAAGTGCAGAGGCAACAGTTGATGTCGACTGTAAAATAATGTAGAAATTACGGGAGATATAAAAAATGATATACAAATACATAAAACATGATAGAAAGTTTAGCAAATATTATATTACAATCAAGAATAACATACATGCATACATATAAATTTAAAATGTGGTAAAATACAAATATGAGGTATGGGTGCAAAATATGATATGTGCATTGGTGGCTTACACACTGGATAAAATCAAAGAAATTGCTAATCAATTCAAAAATGCAATAAAGAAATTAGCGTCTTTTTAACTTATATTAATAACAACTAAAGTATACTGAAATCAATAAATTTTACAACTAGACAATTCCATAATTTCGGAGAAAAAAGAATATTATCATATGTATCGATTTAGAGTCTAAAGCACTTCGCTATTAAACTCTTAAGAAAATCAAGAAATCAAATTTAATTAACTAACCCAATCCCGTAAGGACGCAACTGAAATAAAAATTACAGAACTGTTTTTATATGAAAAAATACATCTTGATACATGGAAGACGTGTACTAAATTTTATAAAGATATTTAAAATAGTATCAGTGTTATTATAAAACAAACTGATTTCCTGAAAACTTTACCGCCCTGTATAAAAATGGGAGGCAACATTACTTTTGATACTGTTAAATAATATGATAATTAAGAAATATATAAAAAAATTGTTTACAAATACATTAAACAGAGAATACAAAATTATACATATACATACATATAAAATTAAGCGTAAGTACCATACTAAGGATAATACCTTATTGTTTACGAATAGAGTGCGAGCTTACAAGACTCACAGTTACGAAAAAAATAAAATGAAATATTCATGAAATATAATACACACCCTATTAGCTTCACGGCTTATACAATCGAATAAATCAAATAATTCTCTCACCTACATACTTGACTTAAAACTCAAAAAGTACACACCAATATCTTAAACCTAACAGATTTTAATCAATTTTCAACACTTTTAACACTTCGAAGCATATTTTAACACTATGGATCATTTTATTTACGACCTCTACCTTATTTCGGCCTTCGGACGACCTTGCCCTATTCCATATTCCTATAACGCCGGCTAAACTATCGACGTGTTGACAGGCAGGTTATCGAACCCATGCGGCTCAGCATGTCGTTTTTTCAAAGATGGGTCCCATATAAACGAGGCTAGAAGTATTTTCAATACTAAAAGATAAAACCATTTTTACTTACTGTTCATTACAGCCCTCCTCTACTGTTCATTACAGCCCTACATCGTCTCTCCATGCTCCTGATCAGGTTGTCGATCTCTTCTTGAGGTACAGCCTGCCACGCTGCATTCACGGCCCGAACCAGATCCCTACGAGTTTCACGAGGCATACCCATTCTCAAAATTCTTTTTTGGACCGCGTCCTATACGTGCTCGATGGGGTTGAGGTCAGGAGATTGTGCCGGCCAGGGTAAGATGTTTAATTGATGAGCATTGATAAACTCACTTACCACTCTGGCTGTATGAGGCCGTGCATTGTCATGCATGAGAATGAAGTTTCTCCCAAAATCATTGGTATATGGTAACACGACAGGCTCAAGAATTAAATCAAGATATGTGATTCCTGTTAGAAACCTTTCAAGAAAAACGAGATCGGTTTTCGGCCTAACTGGACTCCTCCCCAGACCATAACTGATAAGGGTGCACTTCCTGAACATGATCCAACCGAATAAGATTTCCCGGTTCTCTCCATACCCTAAGCTTTCTCGAATCCGGATGAATTCCAAAGCGTGACTCATCCGTGAAGAGAACATTGGCCCATTGTTCATTCGACCACTGAACATGATCTTGAGCCCACAAATATCGTACCTCTCGATTTCCTCTCGTTAAGGGTTGAGCTCTCCAGGGGCGTCTGCTTCTTAAGTTGACCTCTCTTAATCTATTGCGAACAGTGTCAGGACTAACGGTTACATTATGTGTTTCCTGGAGAATTAAACTAAGCTCTGGTGCTGTAAGAGTCGGTCGGCGTCGAGCATTTAATTGTAAAAAATGATCTTGCTGAGGGGTAGTAATGCGGTTTCGCCCTGTGTGCCTTTCAGCAACATCACCACTTTCACGGTAGCGTGCACTTAATCGCGATATTACACTTTGCGTTGTATTTAATACTCTAGCTACGTCGATTTGGCGCATTCCAGGTTCGAGCATACCCTTGGCCCTTAGCATTTCGTCTCTGTTAAGATGTCTACGCTCCATAATGTCGTTTAATACTAAACAGAGTTATTTGAATGAATTCTGGCCAGTTATCATAAAAACAACCAGTACAGGTTAAATTCGAACAATTGATGCTAGGTGCTTTTTATACATTTGACAAAAAATGCACAAACACTTCTACAAATATCCCAAATTTAGAAATAACTAGTGTGACCACTTCGTTTCAATCGAAGTAGAAAGAATCGGCCTACAAATATGTGGTTGTTTATTCAAAACATTTATTTTTAACTTTAATAAAATGATATCCCTAAATTTTTCCGGTGTGTGTAGTATGGATACTGTGAAGGGGAAATTCGATACAATAAGCCTACGCGCTGACCTGTAATTTTTAATCGGCCGACTTAGTTGCAAAAGTGAAAACAATACATACTTATGAAGTCGTTCAACCGACTATTTGATTGCATGTGAGCGCGGCTCCATAAGGATATATTGGTTACAAATATACAACATACAACTATATTATAGTCAGCTGACTAAAAATTGCCTGTCAGCGCATAGCCTAAACCTACGCAATGTAATCAAATATTGGGCCGATTGGCTCCATAAGAATTTATTGTTTTCACTTTTGCAACTAGAAAAGGAAAACCTTTTCCTAACCTTGGAAAAATAGATTTGATCGTCTAATGTTTTAGTGTCTTGTCCTGGGCGGTTAAAAGATGCCCAAATCGTAATAAATCGTTTTAATCATATCTCATTTTTTTCAAATGGAATGAGGGTGGCTCATTATCATATTTAGAAAAAGGATTATTTTGCGAATAATTTAATACCACACACTTGGTATTTCGAGTCAAATTTTTGTGACGAACCGCATGTTATAATTTCAAATAAACAATATGCGAAAATGTCAAAAGTTGACATATGACATTCTATTCAGAGTGTTATTTTCTATCAAATAAATTAAAAAAATACCAAGGGTGCCATTTAAAAATCAAAAGTTGTAGTCATTTCCGGTGAAACAGGAAGTGACTGAAAACAATTGAATACGTCAATCAATCCTAATTTATGTCATATACTAACATACCAAATCTCGTTTTTTTTAACTGA